GGCTGTTTTTATCGGAGGAAGCCTTTCATGTAGCCTCTTAAGCAAATCTTTAGTTAGTGAATGATTTCTTTGTTCGACGCTTGACAACGGCCTCTTACAAGGAAGGTTTTCCGACTGCTGAAAGTGTTGGAAATAGTAACCTCATTTTCAGCGCAATAAACGTGCTTTATCCGTCCGTAAATACAAATGGACCAGTTCACTTAATTATTTCATTTAATTTTATTACCATCATTAATTAAACGTTATACTCAATTTTTGTAAATATTTTTCTTATTCTGCAAATGTCGTCGTTATCTGTGGATAAAAGAACAAAAAGCTTCTCACACACTTCATCTATAACACATATGTATATAATGGAAAATTGTTGTTGTGTTTGAATGATTGAACGTGTCTCAACCAATTTAATAAATACAATATTCTATTTTTATCCTTTCAGAGCGAATCACCCGACGATCTTCGAAACAACAACGAAATACAAAGCCAAATAGCCAGTACATACACAAAAGTAGTGAAAAATATTTGTGAAAACAACACAACAACAAACACAGAGAGAACAATTGTATAATTTTATAGAAAGCACACAGAGATTCAAAAACACCTACAACGGGAGATACCGAAATGCACTCGCTTATTTGAAAAACAAAAYAAAAAAATACAATTCACCAAAATACAAACAAAAATTCAGAAACAATTTCACTAAATTCGATACAAAGTTTTCAGCTTTAATCAACTTTTTTCCATAAATTCTAACACATTTTTAAACATATTCACAACTAATTGTACCGTTATCACCACCTATTAGTGACATATTTCTGCTAATTGGAAAAACTATTTTCCACAAAACAAAAATAACCTTTCCACCGTTTTTATTTGGTTCGAAAAGCGGTGATTGCATCGATTTAACTCTTTGATTCTCTTTAACTCTCTTTAACTCTTTACTTCCTCGATATACAAGAATCTACATAAAAACCCCAGCCTACCTAATAACCCCACTAATACTTATTTATTCACTTAACTAAAACCGTTTTTTCTTTTGACGCAACCGGTCAAATTAATAGATCCTGAGCAGAAAACAGTGAAGAGTTCACAAACTTGTTAGTAAAAAAAGTCTAATAACTCTAAAACAATAAAGAAAATATAAAAAACCCGAATCCATACGCGATGGCCACCGTTCAACGTAAATTGGTTCATAAACAATTCAACTCCCCCATGGGACTTTATTCGCAGCAAAATGTCAAGGAAACATTGGATCGTGAGCTGAAGGCTTTCGGCGCTGATGGGTAAGTCAATACACTGCATATTCGGAAACTTTTCTTTATTTCCCGACATACGCATAATTGTCGTAAATTGTTATAAAGTAATCACAAGTTGTCCTATATTAATAGTAAAAGCAGTCCAAACAGTGTTATTCAGGACTGACATAAAATTTACCATATTTGCGACGTCGGTATTATCTTTTGTGTGTAGCAGGGTTCCACAGCACTAGAGCCTCCCCCAGCTAGGTGAAGGCGATTTATGGCTCAAAAATAAACAACCGACATGATACTGAGAAAGGCCGGCGTCCTGCTCTATTATTAKGTTAAGTTAGGTTGGGTTGGATGATTTAGAGAGATCGCACTTCAGCTGCTATATGTAGTCCTTTGTGAAGCTTTGAAAAGAAGAACTCCTGTGTTCGATCTTGTAAGTTCGCAAAGCACTTAGAGGCCAATACAAATTTGAACATCTGATTAATTTGAATTCCCGCTAGTTCGATGGGATGTCTGAAGAGATGCGCTCTCAAGTGTTTAATCTTTGACATTTCAACAACTCGAGACAGCCAAGAAGGAAATGTTGAGATGTTTCCAACTCGACCTCTTCCTTACAGCCWCTGTGGATGACGTCTGGTAAGRTGCTCAACCTTACAGCAAAGACGCCGATAAGGCAATGTCCTGTTAAAACACTCACAACAAAACAAGGCTAGCCTTACTGAGGGAAAAGAGATCACTGGATCAATAGATCTCTTGGGATCGATCATGAGCCAAAAGGATTTTGCGATAGCGCATGTACCGTTGGTGGCACAGCACTGACCAGGCTCCCGCGAAACACACCTATTTAGGTTTTAGGGTGTCTTTCCTTCCGGCGACTCCGCTATGCCTGGCTCCCATACCAGTCTTAACGCGAATTGATAAGGAGGTTAGACATTCCCTGAGTAACCCAGAACGCATTGTTAATGAGTTCATGAGTGCACTCCTTCTATAGTCAGGGAGTCGAAACTGGGCTTGATAGAGAACTACCGACCGTAAACCCCTCCACCAAACTTCCTCCCAAGCTTTGAACCATCCGTAAAGAAGCTCAGTGTTTCTCTCCTTCAGCTCTGTTTTCATAATTCCTATAACCATGTTATTAAATGGAAGTTATAATTAAACACTCATCAGTTCGAAAGCTCTCCAGGCATTTCATTAGTCAATTAGTCTTTTTAACATTTTTAGTACCACGCAACTCCTCTCAGCAGGTAAGCAGCTACCGAAATGATACCAACAATCAATTAGAGTCTGCCACTTTCTTAAGCCGCCCACAGAAGATTAAATACGAATTTTTGCGAAGAGTGCTTCTTGGCAATGGGGCAGAGCAGAGCAATTTAATTTTGACGCACCTAAAATCAATCAAGTAGTTGAGTTGGGAAATATCGTTATAAAACCAATTGAAATAAAATAATGAACGTCTGCTGTGGCAATGGAAGCGTTTTTGCCACAAAAATTTACATCAACTTCTACAAGAGTATCAATAAATTTATTCATGGCACTCTATGCAGCAGCAAATTGAAATATGATAGGAGCCAAAGCAATCACGCAACAATATGTAGATATGTATGTATTACCATTACTTACCTCATTGTACAAGGGCCAGAGCACGAGCAATTTGCTTTACAAATCATGCACTCAGCGGAAGACAATACTCAATGCCTCAAATAAATAAAATAAGTGAAAAACATAATATCCACAGAGCCATACATACATATTAACAGCGAAGAGCTGACAAAAAAGATGCTAGCAAAACATGAATAACGACATTTACCGCAACAAAACAGAAACCAAACCGCACCACACCGACCGAACCAAACAAATGTGCAAGAAACCGGGAAAGCGGGCGAGACGAAAGCGCCGCGCGAGTAAGGGAACGGAAGGGAAAAATAAATGGTTTGTAAGTGACATGCTACGCAAGGCCAACTTGACAATGTGAAAAACGAAACTGCAAATAAATTGACCATTGAATTTATTTCCATTTCCATTTCTACCATCAAGCATTCGCAGTGCTGCCAGACGGAAGGCTGATTGCGTACACGCCATTCAGTGCCAAACCAGCCATTGCGAACTATTCACAGTGTTTTTTGATTTTCGGTGTCGGTGTGTATCAGCTGTTGTTCGACGCTGGCTGGCGCTGGCTGGCGCTGGCTGGCTTCACTGTGCTCATGGCTGAGAGACTCCACACAAAGACCATATGCACATGCTCTGTGTGTGTGCGCGCTTCCATAGAGCCGTGCCATTTCATGCGTCAATTGAATATTTTTGTGCATACTTGTAGCCAATAATGCATCAATTTTTGCATTTATAGCGATGAGTCTGCAGCTGTAAATGCGTGTGTGTGTGTGTGTGTGTGCCTTTGTATGGGTGTATTGTATTGTCAATTGTTTGGTTATTGCATGCGTGAGCGCGCATTTGTGCTATATCATCACGTTCCCGGCTGCGTTATAGACAGATGTATTCACAACCATATTAACATTTGATACTGGGGTACCAATGTTGCACCGAGCATAATTTTTGTGATTTGGTGACTTTTGGAATGACAGCAGTGGGCAATTGTCTCTCCGCAAAGCCAGAGATAAGGAAAATCTCGCTTTGTAGACCTCTCGAACTATGCCACACAACTTTAATACACACGATTTTAATACGTCTCTACTGTTCGGCACGCACCCGAACTCATACTTGCCTTACTATTTCATAGGACCACACAACCACATGCACTGTAACTTGAGCACTTTGAGAAATATCACCGCTATATTTTCAAAACAATTTAATGGCCGTACAAAAAAGTGTGCATATCAATATTTTCCACTCCGCAATATTCGCCTCTCAATAAAATCAAATCAAAACAAAAGCAAAGAAATTAAATATAAATAAATATGAAACATTAAACGAGCATACAAAACTCTCGAGAAATAAATTGGAAATAAGATTCAATAAAATTTAGTGACACAAAGCAACACTTCTGTGACTTATTCACGTACATACATATGTACATACCAMATCACACAAAGTTCTATTCGAAAAATCGCAATCAATCGTATTGATTTCATTTTATTGTTCAGCGGGTTTGAGTGATGCCACAACGCTACATACACAAACACAATACAAATTCACTTGCTGGCCGTTGCAAGCAGTGCAACAGCGAGGCAATACATACTGCTACATACCCGTTACAGCCCACTCCAAAGCTGCAAAGCAAGGAAACAATGCGCACACACTTCGCAAACTCATAAAATCAGTCGCATCGCCTTTGCAAAAATATCAATTTTCTTTTGTCTCATAATATAAATTCCGTAAAGTCACTCAATGTTGTATTTGAAATGCAGAGATCTTCGTCGAAGTCGCATACACGCTCTCTCCTCTAGATTGTCTATATTGTCTATCAAATTGCACTTTGTGGCCACAAGTTTGCAAATAACATATAGAAACAATAGTTGTGGCAGAGATTGATGATGATGATGGTAATGGTGATGGAGCAGTGATATCTCAGTGCCACAAGATAACGACAAAGAATCAATTTGCAACTGTGCCATAAATCGAGCCAGAGGTACACATGCCCAGTGTACTGACTAGCGTTTGCAGCGAAGTTGGGCCATTGGATTTCGCTGCATCGGCAGAGTTTAGAATTCAGATGCTTATTTGCCCTGTTAAAGCGATTAACCAGACAGTCATTGTTTAACTAGTTTATAGAAATATTTAGTGGTGAGACATGAATAGTTAGAATATAAATTCCAAATATGTTATCGCATATAATATAAAATATTTTCAATATGTAAATGGTGATGCAGTTCGAGGTTCGCTAGTTCCCTAGAAAAAATCACAGAAACTTCAAATTTATTTTTAAAAAATTGTATTATCATTCGAAAGAACACACTTTGGCATTTATTTTTAGAAGATTATTTCTTTCAATTGTTGGTCGCGGCTAGGATTCGATGGAATCCAACTTTCGATGACTCGTCTGAGCATTTTGGCAGGTAACTAGCGAATGACAAGTGTAATGTTTTGCTCCAAGGCCTGAATCGTAGCGTGTTCGCTCAACAAATCTGTTGATTAATGTGATGTGTGGGAAGTGGCGCCGTCTTTTCAAACCAAATGTCGATGAGATCACTAGCTAAAATTTTAGGCATCAATTAGTCGGTTATCATGGCGAGACCATTAGTCGCGATGAACGGTTTCGTTCTGACCGTATCATTTTGAAAAAAAAAAAATAACAATATATGTATATACAATAAACCGTGGTTTTTTCTGGATTGATGGCAGCGTTGGAATCTCTTTAGGTTGTTCTTTTTCCCAAAAGCGACAATTTTGCTCGTTTACTTTCCCATTGAGCCAGAATTAGGCCCATATCGCATATCGCGAAACAAATTCGGCTTGAAAACGTCGGTTTTTTTTTTTTTTTGGAAACTTTCAAGTCGTCCCATACGTATCCAATAATTAATTATGGGTCTCAAGAAGGGTGATGGTGTTACGAATAGTACCCTCAGTAGGCCGATTATGTTGACCATAAGTTCAGCGAAGCGCCCGAAATATAATGCTAACCGAATTACTTTGGCCTCAATCTTACTTATTTATATCGTTAAGAGGTGCTCCCAAATAAGACAGAACTACCTACTTTAGCAGCGTCACCAATTGTTTTAAACAATAAATAAAAACAGTATAATATTTAATTCAATGAAGCCTTAACCGAAACCCCTTTATGTGAATTGCAAAGAAATTGCCTCCCACCATGCAGCATATTCATATGAACTGGTTCATAGCTGTTTCAATCCGTCTTTGCTCGTGCCACATCTAATTCATGTAACTGATTCAATTTGATTGGAATTGAGTGAGTTGAAAGTTGGTTGTTCAGCAGTGAGCTGACTTGAGTTGAGTTGAGTTGAATTGTCGGTTGACCGCAAGTAGCCAATATGGACGAGTGCCTCTGCACTTTCGAAAGTTTCCCAACGCTTTTTCGGTTTCTTTGCCCCCATTGGTCAGTGCTAATCTTTTGTAAACAA